AAAGCAGAGAGACTCAAGGTTTCTACCAGATGTCAACGATGTCTAATTGGTGACTTGATATTCAAACAGTCCCACTCACAGAAGAGAGGGTTTACTTAATGTGTTACACCCTAACATCAATATGCTTTTTCTCTTTGCTGTTCTCTAAACATTTCCTAAGGTACTGGCAAGGAGATTGTTGTGTATTCATTTAGTGGAGACACACACTCCTCAATTGCTTACTACTATTCTCTCTTTATTCGTTGATCAAGTATCTTATAAGCTGGTAGAATAGTCTTACTTAGTAACAGTACTTTCACATCACTCAGTAATCTTACAGTAATGTCACTAACACTAGTACAAGTACTTTTACTACAGAGATACACTACAGAGATCAAAGGCTTCTTTAGTTTGTGATCATTTCCTTTATTCTTGTGACCTTGATGTGTGATTTGGAGGTAATATGGTAAGGAGGAATTAGATGCTAGTCACTCTAAGGGGTGAAAGGATTTAAATCCAATCAAAATTAGTGATAAATTAGTGAATCAATCAATCAATCAATCAAAGTTTATTGTCTAACGTGAGGCATGGTTGCCCAATTGCCTGAGCCAGAGGCTCATGTATAAAACGGTAGACTATAAAGTTCACTGCAAGTTGCAGTGAAGACTGCAACTTGCAATTTTGTTTGTATCTAATAAAAATTGCTAAGAGCACTTATTGCAAACTGCACGAAAATCATTTGAATAACAAACCTTTATACAGGAAAGAACTCTCGGAGTAAAATTTGTCTGTGTCAGTTTTTAAATATTCCTCGGTCAAAATTATCTCGATTTTATTTGTTTATTTGCTTGTTAAACCGCATATGGAAACCATAATGTCAATACTTTGTCATGAAGGGTGAATTTTCTAGTAAAATGTGAAAACAAATTTCGCTGCCCAAACTGAGAAGGCTGAGTTTGATGGGTTCCTGACAAATCAAATCTGTTGCCAGCTGTGACAGTCGTCAAGTGGATTTCATCCGAACGCAAGAAAGCACCGGTGAAATTTGTGCGCATAACATTTCCTCTCTCTCTTAAAATTTCTTTTTAATGTCAGATCAAAAGTATTAGAAAAGGTCTTGCATATTAGCGTCGACAGTGATTGGGAGAAGCCTTATATCAAACGAGAACAGTTAACACACATCTCTGTGGCAGAAGTGTCGGGCAAAGTCCCAACCACTCCCGTTTTCCTTGAGGCTGAACCTCATTGTTTCCAGACTTGTTTACTTCAATTTCTTAAATTTGTCACCTGTCGACTTGTTAAGTGTTTATCGATACTTTCTTCCTGTAAACACTGTTTTGAAATCGACTCTCTTCGGACCTCATCAGTCGCCGCATTGAGACAGCCGACAGTGACGTGAAAGCGGAGGACCTGTTGTTGTATTTCTTTTTCTTTTTTTCATTTCTACTTGAAGATCATTAATTTAACCGACTTCTTACTTTAATCCGTTACGTAAAATATAATTGCAGAAGAGAGACACGTGTCCTTCGTGTAAACAGCTCATATTTAATTACTGCTAAATTAAGAATTAACTACTGATGAAATCCAATCAAAATAAGTGTAAACAGCTGATATTTAATTACTCCTAAATTAAGAAATGTTAGTCCAGTTAGTCTGTCAGTGGTGAGAGTGATGTTAAATACCACAAGAACAATTTAGAAGAAGGTGTTTTATCTGCTGGTATTTGTTGGCTGTATCATTGAGGATGAGATCGACGGCGTTAATTCGCCTTGTTTTTTTGTTTTTGTTTTATTTCATAACTAGGTCGTTATAAACTGTCAGAAATCTCATCCACGTAGAATATTACCGTTGATGGCATTCTACAAAGAATTTGACCCTGCATGTACATGAAAAAATGGTGAATTTCATTTCATTTCATTTACCACTTAATTTATGTGTCTGAGATTCCCAGTTGAAGTTGTAAAGTGGCTGCTTATATGCATAAATTAGCTCCCCAGGCTATGTACAGCTTTACACTCATGATACAGCAGTTAATCACATACTATCTTTAATTTGTAGACTAAAAAATCGAAAAAAAGAAAATGGCCAGCAAACCAAGAACCAGTAAAGAAGAAAAAGAAGAGAAAGGAGGAGAGTGTTAAAAAAGTACAAAAGGTGGGTGAAAAAAGCAGAGAGACTCAAGGTTTCTACCAGATGTCAAGGATGTCTAATTGGTGACTTGATATTCAAAGTGTCCCACTCACAGAAGAGAGGGTTTACTTAATGTGTTACACCCTAACATCAATATGCTTTTTCTCTTTGCTGTTCTCTAAACATTTCTTAAGGTACTGGCAAGGAGATCAAGGGCTTCTTTAGTTTTGTGATCATTTCCTTTATTCTTGTGACCTTGATGTGTGATTTGGGAGTAATATGGTAAGGAGAAATTAGATGCTAGTCACTCTAAGGGGTGAAAGGATTAAATCCAATCAAAATTAGTGATAAGAAAGTTGTATGATATTAGCTATTTTGATTAAATGGAGTCTTTTATTTTCCTTTAGCCAAAGATCATCCCTCATTCACATTATTTGTTCAGGGTTGGACAACACACCAAAGAAAGACTTAAGATCTCGAACATAACAGATCTCATTTTATTTGCATCCCTGCAAGATGTTCATCCCAGATGCCAGTCTTGGTGTCAAATAGAAGGTGCTGATAAAGTCCACAAAGTTGTCATTGTTATTGTCAGTGGTGTGGGAGCAAAGGAATTTCTGGAAAACAAAGATAATTTTCCTAAATGTAGCAGCCTCTTTGAGTTGGTAAGATTTAGTATCTAGTGTATCAAGAGCCTGCAGGAATACACGGTTCAAGTAATTTTACTTTGATTTTAATTCCTTTTCAGGGCATAAACACCAAAGCCTCGGGAACATACTTTAGTGTCAAACTTCCGCATGAGAGCTTACTTTTCATTGACATGCCAAAGGAACAGCGAAAGAAACTGAGGAAAAGGCTGGAAAAGAGTGACAGTGTGTACACTAGCTAAATATTAGTTTGTGATATAAATATACACATAAATCTGTTTCAGATGAGATGATTTACCTTTCTAAGATTGATTTTGATGTGATTTTGATCATGATTTGGATGTTATAGCAAAAATTTAAAAGATCCCCTTTTAATTTGAAATCTCATTCAGCTAAACTTGGTAGAGAGGACTACAAATTAACACTAGAGGAGATGCGTCAAAATAACTTTCCACTCCCAAGTGCTGTCAGTGGGGATGACATTGGGGAAGGAGAACATAATGGTATCAGTGATGAATGTGCATAATTTAAATATACAGTGCGGTGATAACCAGTCATTGATGTTTGTACCTTTAACTTTTTCACTCTTAGGAGTGACAAAGAAAGAATTTCTCCCTGAATATATGAGGTAATAGAGAAGGACACCATGGCAACTGGGTCACAGGTTACTAGGTTATGGAATGAAAATTCAATTGAGATTATGAGAGCAAGGGAAGAAATGAAGATAGTAAATTTGCAAATGAGGCAATTTCATGTATACACAAAAAATGAAGATCAGTCTTTAGTTTCATTATTTTAACAACAGTGTCCTTGTTTTTAGGGTTTATTTCAACGAAACCATTTAAGAAGTCCAAGAAATCTCCAGAATCACCAATGTTTGCAATTGATTGTGAGATGGTATGTTCACAAAAGTCATATCAATCATTCAAGAATAGCAGATAAAAAAAAATCATGCAATTTAGAATAGGGTCGGCAGTGAGTTTGATGAATCAATAGATAGTTGACTCAGTCTGAATAGTTGCATTACGTGATTTGTTGTAATTCATGTGTTTACCAGTGTAACTCAGCACTTGGGAAAGAGCTCACAAGAATATCTTTGGTTGATGAATCATGTAAGGTGGTTTATGACACACTTGTAAAACCACCCAGGCTGATACTGGACTACAAAACAAAGTAAGTGACAAAGAAATTTCAAGGACAGAGAGGATAAATAGTTCAGGCAGTAAAAAGAAATATTATATCTCTCAGTTAGTACATGCAAGTTCTGATTGGTCAATTCAGCTTGCTGTATTTCATTGTACAACCTGCAAATTTCCAAAGTCTGTCTGAATTGAAATCTTTTCACTCTAATGGAACCCAGATTTATACTAAATATCTTGCTAACCTAGTTTTTTTTTTTACTTTCTTACTGTAAGATTTGGAGCCTCGTTTTTTTCCCTTAGATATATGACCTGTGCATTTTCTGCTTGAGACATACACCCAAGCAGAAAAAAACTTGGTCTGTATCCTATAAAACAGACCCCTGGCAAACTGAGTTTGTATGAGAGGTACATGAACATGATGAATGTAACAACTACTCTTGAAAGAATATTTCCTAAATTTCATTTTTTAATTTGTTTATTCATATCAATTTTATTTATTTATTATAGTACAGAGGATATCTCTTCTGTTACCAGATGTAATTTTTTTTTTTTTTTTACGTTACAATTACTGAGGTTTAAACCCTGATTAGGTTTAGTGGAATCACTGCAGAAATGCTGGAGAATGTAACTACAACTTTAACAGATGTTCAGAGACATTTGGTAGATATTCTTCCTGCAGATGCTATTCTCTTGGGGCATTCACTGGAGTTTGACCTTACAGCTCTTAAGGTTGGCAAATAAACTTATTTCAGTCTTTAATGGAATAAGTAAAATGCACAGATAATTGTATCAATATATGGAAGAAAAATATATGAACAACAGTAAATAAATAGAAATTACGTTTCTCTTCTTGTTGATAAGCATTTTAATGGAGTGAAAATGAAATGAACTTCAAAAGTTTCTCAATAAAATTCTCTTTCATTGTGTGATTAACTGGTAATGTAAGTTCCTCCTTCATGGTCTTATTTTGCTCCAAACAAGTTGGCCCCCACCTTGATGAGTGTGCGCCTAAATATTCCTCTACTCTTCTCCATATCATTATTGTAGAATAATTCCTTTGCACATTCAACACACCAATCTTTATATATTTAATATTTAATTTTTCAGCTCTATCACACAAGGGTGATTGACACTTCTCTCCTTTATGGAGACAGTAACGGAGTACCTTTATTTAAATCATCATTACGGAATCTTGCTCGTCAGCATTTAAAGTAAGTTTTTCCCATTTTTCTCACAGCTCATTCACTCACCTCCGACAGCAGCATGTATTTTTACTATTAATAACGATTCTGTCAATCACAATTAGAGATAATAAGGTTAGAAATTTTATTGAGACAATTGACAACTTTTTCTTTAGAATTAACTTTCAAAAACAAAGTTATGTTAACTATACATCTACAGCAGTTCACTTTAATTATGGTACATTGTAATTTCCATTTGTTTTTTTCTTTCTTCTTTTAAAGGAAAGATATTCAGAATGGAGAAAATGGTCATTGTTCAATTGAAGATGCAAAAACGTGCATGGAATTGGTTCAGCTTAAAATTAAAAATGGTCAGCATCTCAATTTTTATCAACTTAGAAATATTGTGTGTCGTCATCAGTTGATTATTTTTTCTCTTGTTAAGTCTTTGTTATTTGCTCTTCTCTTGACTTTTTCAGGTCCTTACTTTGGAAGAACCTTTACAGGAAAGGAAGGGTATGAATGACTTGTTATCTCAAAATTTACCCACAGTTAAAAGAACTTTGCAAAAACTCTAATGATTGGTGACATCAGCCTTCTTGGTTTGACTGGTGACTCTTTTTAGCTTAAAATATGAAACTAGAAGTTTAATGTTCAACTTCAAAGAAATCAGTGCATTTGTTTTTAACCATCATTTGCTTCTCTACTCAGATTATTCGAGAGAATTGAACGTAGTAAGAAGAGAGGTATAGTACTCTAGAACCTCACCACATTACCTCGCCACATTACCTCGCCACATTACCTCGCCACATTACCTCACCACATTACCTCACCACATTACCTCACCACATTACCTCACCACATTACCTCATCACATTACCTCACCACATTACCTCACCACATTACCTCCTCCATATTACGATCATGTAACACTTTTTGGTTACAAAGTTTCTAGAAATTTTTTTCCTGTTAATACGACAAGAGGAGCTAACAGGATACTAAAATTAATCCCGTTTACAACATATTTCTTTTAGATCTTTCAAAGACAAAAATGAATCCTTCGTGAAACTTTAATTTGTCCATTTGATTTTAAACAGAAGTTTAATGCTCTGGGCTGATAATAAATTCTACAGCCTCGTGGAGTATCGTGTAAACTCCCTGCATGATATTGATAACTTCAAGAGCATTACCATCTCTTTATTGTAGCCACATTTATATGGCTCAGTGGTGATACTACATACTCGAGGCGACCACTTTTTCCCTACTGAAGATGCTCTTTGGAATGTGAGGTTGATTCTGACCTCAATCAAATGAAATAAAGGTTGATTTACAGCACCTATACAGATTTACAGCCAGGTTTCGTATTTATTAAATTTTTTACAGATTAACTAGAGAAGTGTTGACTTTATCTGTTTTCTCATTTTGTAGGATCCTTCCTGGATTTCCCAGGAGTTGTAAAAAAGTTTGGCAAAGGCGCAACCCATGCAGTAACTTGCTCTTCAGATGAAGAGGTGGGACTCGTGCGACGATTTGGGAATTACATATTTTAATATGTATGTGACATCGATATTGTTTAGGCTGTCACATAATCGGAAAATCATGTTGTCGGCGCAGAAGTTTCTACCGCCCCGAGCGCCAAATCGGGAGATGTACTTCTAGATCGTCAGCTGTCGACTGAATGTGTCTTTCACTGGGATTTTTGAGACTCCACGACAACACAATCGTAAGCGAAAGGTTTCCCTAAAACTGCGCCTGATCCTGCGACTAAAAGTAAGCAGTCGAGTAGTGTAAATCACAAAGGTTTCCTCCTTAAATAGATAGTAAGATGAATAGGTATTCACTTGTCTGTAGGTAGTTTCTGGTGCTGTCGAATTAATGGAGTCGTCCGATATCATCTGGACTCATCTTCATGAAGCTGAGATGTTTTTCAAAGGTAAGCGGAAGTTGTTCCAGCGGCTTTTCCTTGTCTAACAATGCACCAGGATGGGCCAGTCAAATAATTCGTTAACTTCAGGAAGAGAAAAGCAAGGAGAATCCTTTTCAATGTAATAAACGCGTTCTACAACTTAAAATACTGTTTTCTTGACCAGAAACTTTTCACTCTCATAGTGCTTTTCTGCATTCCACATGCTTTCGGAGACTTTCGCTCTTTTTTCGTCTGATTAGAATACTAAATAAGTCTCAGTTCTACGGGTTTTTTTTCTTGTACCTCCTATGTAATGCCTGTTACTGTGATCTCTGCATTCTTGTATGGTTTGTTTTCGCTTTTGTTTGCACAAGCTCGCTTGGCTGATGAACTCGTGCGAAAATGTTCGTTTCTTTCACCTGAATTCCAGGTATCTGGAACGATCTACACTCGAACGATCTACACTCGAGTACTTTCGGTATAGCTACTGATAATGAGAGGAGTAAAAAAGAATGAACAATATTTAGGTCTTTTTTACCATTTTTCTTTCGTGTTTTTTCTTTTTTCGTTCGTTCGTTTGTTCCATTCCCTGTTTTGCACACATATCGTATGATAGTCTTTATTAAACCTTCTGTTTGTAGAGGGGCAGTCAAGCATTTGTGACAAACAGCAAAGAACTTTCAAGGTAGGATATGAAGCTGTTGTTTACATTATAGCTGAACTCCTACCAACAGCGATTCCATACCTAACATAAATAATGTAAAACAGCGGTCCCAGAAATTTTTATGAAGTCCACAACGAAAGTTACAAAGAACTATCATTATGGGGGGATAGTAATTTCAGTCGAATTAAACGACGAAGTCAAAACTTATTTACTGTAGCTCTAGCTGTAAGTTTGGTTAAATCAACATACTTTGTGACTGTGGCAAAACAGACATCATGTCAAGTTAAGTTGTACATGTTATCAGCTCCATCTGCGTAACCAACTGGTAGGAACTGGTAGGTTTACGTTTTCACTTCTCACACTTGTATTATCAGTGTAAAGCGATATGATTGCTGGATTCTTTTACTGTTACATTGAGTAGATCGTGAATCTTTGCTCTTTAAAGGACGTACTTCATTCTGTGGACTCAAGAATACAGCAAATCCACGATGCAGTGCCAAGTGACTGTTTGTTATTAGTGATGTTTGGTTGCAGTAATTTATCGCCCGTGATAAGGTTCGTGTACTTTTATAGTCTTCCCACTTACCACTGTACATTTCCCTAAATGCTTAGGTTTAGTATGCAATCTCCAAATTAATAAACAGCAGTGTGTGAAATGCTAAGGCGGCTATTTTGATGCAAATAAATGGAATGTGGTTTATTAGTCTACTCAGAACAAAATTCTTGTTCATCATTGCGTAACATGTACTGGGCAGTCTGACACGTACTGGGAAAGCAGTGAAACACGCAACAGCAGACTCCCTTCTGAGCGTTTGCTGAGCCTACGATTTTTAAAGCAAACTTGTTAGCCATTTTAGGTATTTGATGATCTGACAAATTGAGGAGATTGCCTCGGTGCTCCAGATCTTCTTTGATTTCATAAGACTCAGGCTTCTCAGGCTTCTCAGTGGGACTCTTTTTGAGGGAGGGGGGGACGGGGAGGGGGGCGGGCGGGGCGGAGCGGCGTTGAACACGTAAAAACGATAGGATACGTAAACCCAGAAAACAATGCCTAGTTATCACTGTGATTCGAATTTCAGGCTTCAGTCACAGGCAAAAGAAAATCAAGCCAGCAGAAGTGAACTGAAAGAAGTTGTAAGGAAGACAAAAAATGGACTGTGCTTTCTGAAAATTACGTAGCTGTGTTACTTTCGCAACAGACAGCCGAGAAGCAACCAAGTGTTTTTGGAGCTTGTTGAAGAATGTACAAGGAAACCGTTTCCAATATTGCAGAAATATTCGTTAACTTAGTTCAGAAGGGTTTTAATACACAAGCATTCACATTGAATACTAATTCCTTTGGGCCAATTATTCATTTCTAATAAATTCAGTGAGAGAAAATGATACAGACTACTTCAAACGCTGCGAGTGAGAACTCCATGAAAACCTACCTTTGTCAACATGAGAGGCCATTACAACAGCGGGAACGGAGAGGAATTAACGCATTTTATGGTTCTAGCGGTTGCCTTTGAACCATTGACGGATTTTACAAGAACATTTTGCACATTTGATTTTAGGAAACCAGCTGAGTAAACTCCAAAAGTTTTTGTGAAGAAACTCCAGGCAGTCAAAGTGAACTTTTTGCTATTTGTTCACGAGTTTTAATAATCTTAACTTCGGTTGTGTATTCATAAATTTTTTATGAAACAACGTCTCGAAATTTATGTCAAAAATAGTATCTACGTTGTTGGGAGGTTAATGAATATTCTTCGAGCTTCTAAATCGATTGTGAAGGGATTGTTTACAGAATGTTTTTTCAGTTTGCTTTCCCAGTGCCCATACATAAAAATATAATGTGACATTTCTTTTTGGCATGAAATATGTCTATACATTATTTTTTTCCTCAATACATTAATTTTATTTTCTTAAGTGCACGGCATAGTTGAAATGACGTCAAATGGTTGAGATCTGAGGACGTTAAAACTCGATGAGGTTTGTGGTCAATCATTTGAAGGCGAAGGATAAGTAATTTCTCGATTTCATTGGCTGCCAAATTTCTCTGTGGCATCTGATATTAAATCATTCGGAGAAACATTTTACATACGTTGGCGACTAGATCTACATGGTACTGAGAAATCGATTGAAAAGGATTTGAATTTCCTCTGTTAACTGCAAAAGTGATCCCAAATGATAGTTACTTCAACAAAAGTGAGAGATTATCCCAGTGGAAAGATTGAAAATATTTCCTTGGTCAGGCTAAAATATTCTGTCACCAATTAGGAATAGTTTGAACTTCCGTCGAAGGAATGGCTCGTGCAGCAAGTAAGTATTCTTCAATCATAGTTTCCACTTATTTTTATTATAATTTTGTTTACTCAGTATGCTGATTGTAGTTTGTTTCTTCACCACTGTTTTCCATGGCGCGTGAGAGGAACGGAGCGATTATTTGTCACCTATTTGCTAGTTGTTGAAAAAATGTGATGTAATTTCAGCATTGTTTATGTTGATGTATTTAGAGTTTTATATAGATATTTGTGTGGTAGATGCATGTAAGATACAAGAACTTGTCAGATGTCTCCATTCCAAAAACAATAATTATTGTGACTCAGGTTTTAAAATAGAATATTGAATTTGAAACCCAAAATCAAATGTCATTTCTCGCCCAATCATTTCTCTCTAACATAACTACCGCCGACAAACAGCTGTTACAAGCTCACTTTAAAGTGTATAATTATTTCTTGATTCCTTTATTATAGGAGTTGTAAAATTCTTTCACAAGGTGCTTTGTGCTATGATGTGTAAGAATTTCAAGTTGAGAAGATGCGACCAGGGAACATTCTGTTTTTCCCAGCTGAGATGCAAAACGAACTTCAAGCGGTTTTTACCAGGAAAGAATTTTCTGACCAGAGCTGACAAGCATTTGAGAAGCGATCAAGAGATCTGTCTTCCATCTGCACGAGAAGTGTTAGAGCCAATTTACGTCACAGAAATCACGCGAAACTTCCCATCAGAAATTTTGATGCCTTTTGCTTCAGCGAGGAATGAGTTGAACGAAATTAATTTTTTTCGCAAAGGAAACCACGATAAATATCTTCTTAGAGAATCCGATATTTCACCTGATTGTGATGAGAATGTAATAACTGAGATTTTTGCGTGGGTCTACAGAATGGAAATTAAAGAGCAAGACTTTTCTAATGATTTATCGGCTACTGCATCTGTTCACAAGAATTGATTTCTCGGAGGAAAAAATGGAAACTATGCAACTAATTGCTGCAATTTTATGTATTTACAGGATTTCTGCCTGCGATTGGTCTTCCGGTGATGCTTTTGTAGCCCACCAACTAATAACACTTCATTTGAAAGATACCATAGTGTAGCCGGGAGTTGTAAATAAGGTCGGGCTGACTACAGATTAGCCCTTGAACCAAATGAGTTATTACTACTTATAGAATGACTGCTGTTTCACAACCTGTAATTTTAGCAATTGGAAAATATTTAATTAGAAAGTTTTTTTTTTCTCATTCCTCTCTTTTATTTAGATTTTCAAAATTTGTACGATTTGAATCATTAAACTTTTCAGGGAGGTTACGTACAGATTTCTTACATTTTCACTGTTCAGATCATTTGTTTCAGCCAAACAGAACATTATCCATAGTCAATCGTTAATTTTGGGAGATCTCAAAACAGCTGAAATTTAGCATAATTAGCAACTTTTCAAGCACCCTTCTTTGAAGCAATAAACTTAGGATTTGAAATATGGCAACGGTATTCCAACCATCTGCAGTATTGAATGATGCTCAGACTTTGGTTAAGATTTCGACTTTTGCCGAATCTTTGTTACCCCACAGATATCTGTTAAATCTTTTCTGGAAGTAATTGTTGCAATATATATACACAAGACATCTTGCGTGTTCATTGGATGAGAGTATATCGACTAATCCCAAACGATGCAGAGTTTGTTCACGAATGCAATCAATCGGAAAAAATTACCGAGAGTAACGAGTTAATGTATAGTAATAACTAGAGTACAACAAGTTTCTCGTGCAATTCGGGTTAAATAAGCATTCTTAAACTTTTGGAAGACTGCAACTTGCAATTTTGTTTGTATCTAATGAAAATTGCTAAGAGCACTTATTGCAAACTGCACGAAAATCATTTCAATAACAAACCTTATACGGGAAAGAACTTTCGGAGTAAAAACTGTCCGTGTCAGTTTTTAAATACTCCACGGTCAAAATTATCTCAATTTTATTTGTTTATTTGCATGTTAAACTGCATATGGAAACCGTAATGCCAATACTTTGTCATGAAGGGTGAATTTTCTAGTAAAATGCGAAAACACATTTGGCTGCCCAAACTGAGAAGGCTGAGTTTGATGGGTTCCTGACAAACCAAATCTGTTGCCAGCTGTGACACTCGTGAAGTGGATTTCATCCGAACGAAAGAAAGCACCGGTTAAATTTGTGCGCATAACATTTCCTCTCTCTCTTAAAATTTCTTTTTAATGTCAGATCAAAAGTATTAGAAAACGTCTTGCATATTAGCGTCGACAGTGATTGGGAGAAGCCTTATATCAAACGAGAACAGTTAACACACATCTCTGTGGCAGAAGTGTCCGGCACAGTCCCAACCACTCCCGTTTTCCTTGAGGCTGAACCTAATTGTTTCCAGACTTGTTTACTTCAATTTCTTAAATTTGTCACCTGTCGACTTGTTAAGTGTTTATCGATACTTTCTTCCTGTAAACACTGTTTTGAAATCGACTCTCTTCGGACCTCATCAGTCGCCGCATTGAGACAGCCGACAGTGACGTGAAAGCCGAGGACCTATTGTTGTATTTCTTTTTCTTTTTTTCATTTCTACTTGAAGATCAATAATTTAACCGACTTCTTACTTTAATCCGTTAAGTTCTATCCGTTCCTGTGGAGTAGCCAATCAGTCGCAGATATTCTACATTCACCATGTCTACCTTGGAGTGACAATTGACGAAAAATGGAATTGGAGGCCTCATATTCGAAATTTGATCAAGAAGTTAGGTCATCGTATCTGTGTTTTTAATCGCATTTGCCATATACTCGACGAAAAGACTCCCCTTACGTACTACAATGGTTTGGTGATACCTCATTTAGACTATGCGGATATAATATGGGGCAATCAACCAGGGTTAAAATCAGAAATGGAACAGCTACAGGCCTTCCAAAATAAGTTTGCTATAAAGGTCTATGGCAAGAAGGCCTCCTCCAAAGAGGCAATGAAAGAATTAACGTGGTTGCCTTTGGAATTTCGTCGTCGTGCGCATCGTTGTGTACTTGTTCAGAACACGATAAAAGGAAACATTCCTGAGCACTTTGATAACTTTAAATCAACACTAAATTCACATGGTTACAACACCAGAAATGGACACCTTCCACGCTTTGGCAGAATTAGAACGGAATGGGGACGACACATAACATCTTATCAAGCAACAAACGAATGGTTGGCACTTCCGCCTGAGTTGAAAAAGCCTCTGCCGGACACTTAAATAATTATTTTTTGAAATTACCTTTTAAACCTTAGCATATTCTTAATTTTTTACTTTTTAAAATTACCTTATAAACCTTAGCATATTCTTAATTTTAGTATTTTAATCTTAGTGCTTTTATGTGCTTCTTTACATCTACATATACAAACTATTAATATTTTTTTATCTAATCTAAATGTATTTTTAGTCAGAGAACCCCCCTGAAAACCACTCAATGTGATGGGAGTATCCTATTTATTATTACTATTATTATTATTATTATTATTATTTTTTATCTAATCTAAATGTATTTTTAGTCAGAGAACCCCCCTGAAAACCACTCAATGTGATGGGAGTATCCTATTTATTATTACTATTATTATTATTATTATTATTATTATTACCATATTTATCACATATTGCAAGAGAATTAGGATTGTTTTCAAATAAACACGGTTGTTTGAATATTTTCCTCGTCTGTTTTTAATGAATCACTGAGCACAATTTGTGAAACGACTCTTTTTTCAAATATCTTAGCGTTTCTGCGTTTGTAGTTGAACGAAAACTTGATTGCATAAATCAAAGATCGTGCGGTACCCAGTGCGGTAAGCCAAAAAACTACAATACGTAGAAATCCAACATATGTTTTTGAGTTTGCAGTCGAAAAAAAGGCCATTTGTGGTAAAATTATTTAAAGGAAAACTTTCGGCTTTGTCAANAATACTGCCACGGCAATTTCCTTGAGTGCGCGCACCTCCTCCACGGTTTCTCCACCAGTTATCACATCGTCAACATACAAGCTCTGCAGGATGTCTTCTACTTCTTTTGGGTACTTTTCTCTCTGGCTCTCCAAGTGTTGCTGCAATGTCCCTCCTAGCAAGAAAGGTGACTGCACAAGGCCAAACAGTGCACGGGTGAACCTGAGAACTTCTACTTCAGATGTCGCTTTGTTCTTAAACCAGTGGAACCGAAGGGCATCTCGATCTTCCATCCGAATGCGCACCTGTAGAAATGCTTGCTTTAGGTCGCCGGCCAGAGCTATTGGTTTCAGGCGGTTTCGCACTAGAACATCCCACAGGAGGTTCTGAAGAGCCGGTCCTGTTTCCAAGCAGTCGTTCAATGATGGACTCTTCTCGTTAGCTTTCGCTGATGCATCGAACACAATTCGCAGTTTGGTGGATTCAGCTGACTCTCTAATGACAGGCTTGTGTGGAATGTAAAACTCCCTTCCTACAGGTTCTGACGTCACTCTCTCAACGATCCCCGTCTCCAGTTGGTCTTGAATTATCTGGTCATACTGCGCGAGGAGATCGGGCTGTCTTTGAAGTTTCTTCGTGAGGTTTGCAAGTCTTCGGAGACTTCCATGCTCGTTGCTTTGGAGCGGCTTGTGACCATGTTTCCACAGCAAACCTGTTTCATACCATCCCTCGTCGCTCCGCCTTAACTGTTCTTTAAATTCTTCATACACGCTCTGCTGATCTCCATCTGGTCTGTCTTGAAGGCCCAACACGTCTAGACTACACAGCTGTTGATACTCTACTGAAGACGTTCTGGTCAGGTAGACACTGTTTAGCCCCATTTCTTTGCCTGCCGACATCATGGTCCACCCCAGTGTAGTTAGTTCAGCGATCGGTTCACCAGCCTTGCCAATCTTCGGCTTAGTGTTGGTCTTTATTCTGGAGTACTCACTTGCTCCCAGTATTAGATGAATTGGTAGTTCGGGCTTGGTATCTTCATCATCCATGGTAACACCCCCGAGGTGTGAAAATGTCTTGATCTTATCAGCGTATCTGGGATTTGGAATTGATAGAAGGACACTCTTATCGACCTTACTCACCATTGTTGTCATCTCAAATTTCCCTTGAATACTTGAAATGCTGACATCATACTGTTCAATTTTCTGCTTTCTTGAGCACAGCATCATGTCAATCTTCTTGTACACTGCTCTGGCTGGTTGTTTCCCAAGGTGCTTGACCAATGTAGCTGAAGCATAGGAGCTTCCGGCCCCTGTGTCCAATAAAGCTCGGCATGTTATCCCATTCACGTTGACGACTACCACTGGGTAAACAACTTCATCTTCAAATGTGGCTAGTAGTAACTGTTGGGGCTCTTTGTCACAGATTGATGTATGGTGTCTTCCATGACACTTCTGGCAGCCTCTAGTAATACGACAATCTGTAGCTCTGTGTCTTGTGCCAGTGCAATTAAAACACAACCTTCTCTCACTGAGATGCTTCTTCCTGTCTCCGACACTCGCTATCTTGTCACAGTTAACAGACTTGTGGCTGGTTGAATTGCAGTAAACGCACGGTCTCTGTCGATAATCTTCTTGCCTTGAGTTGAACAATCTGTCTCGCGACTTGTTTGGTTGGTCGGAAGAGTTTAAAGGATTCCTGTCACACCATTTACGAAGTGCCTCCAACATCTGAGGGAACGCCCACTCATGCCAGTTGTCATCCAAGCGAACAAGGTCAGCCCTGATACCAGGTAATTTGTCCAGAGTGACTCTAACATACCCGTTGATTTCCTTTATTTTTCCCATCGTGTCGAGTGCTTGAACGTTTGTGGCCAGATTTTCATAAAAATCGTGTACTTTTGCTGGCTGCGATCCCTGTACAGTAGGCAAAGCAATAATACGCTGGATGTGGGCGTTGGCGACTTCACTCGGTTTTCCGTACTTCGCTGTTAAGATAGCCTTAGCACGTTCGTATCCCTCGGTGTTGTAAGGTAGGCCATCGACGGCAGATCGAACTTTCGGGACAAGGAGCTCTTTCAGGTACGAGAACTTTGCCACTTGCGTAATGGCAGCTTGATCTATTTCGGTGTCGAACTGACTCCAAAATCGTAGCCAATCCAAATGGGTACCTTGGAACTTAGTTATAGTTAATTTTGGCAGCTTTGCACCGCTTTCCTTCACGGACTTGTTCCGATCTTCTTCCATTTTCTTCTCAAAATCTCTCTTAATCTGCATTTTCGCCTCCTCTAATTTTAGCTCTTCTTCATAACGCCGCTTGCGATTTTCCTCTTCGGCCTTCTCTTCCTCCCATTTCGCTTCCCGTGAGGCTTCTTCACG